TGGTGGCTGTTGTAGTAGTTGTAAAGTAAAATTAGTGTAGTGTCATGTAATTAGATGTAATTAGTGTAGTGTAATCCTTGTTGTGTAATGCAACGTAGTATATTTGTACTTGTAGCTGCAGTAGTAGTGTAGTGTAGTGGTACTTGTAGTTGTAGTTGCAGTTGTAGTTGTCTATCTACCTATCTGTCTTCTGCAAGCTTGAAAACGAAGCTATTCTGCGAGACTTCCATAATTTTTGAACTTGACAACGTCACAAACAAAGCAATTCAGCGAGACGTCCTTCAAAAATGGACAGTTGAGTGCAGAGCTGACGGCCTCGTACCAATGCATTTTGTTTGCGGTTTTTCCACTCCATCTGTCTAAAGTGCTGCGCTTGCCACAAAAAAGTGATGCCATGTCATACGAAGTGCTGCACCTGTCAAACCTGAAGATCTGATGCTCCAAAATGCAAACACTCTCAGGAAATCAGCGCCCGGACCTCCTAACAGCTCTGATGAACATGTCTCTTGTACTGCGCCTGCCACGCGAAATGCATCTTGCCAGTTCCTCTGCATATGTCCCACGCCTGCCATCATTTTTGAAACTGCTACAAAACCCTCACGTTTTTGATCGTTTTTGCCCACTTTTGACAAGGTGCACAATCCCTTGCGCCTGCCACGCGAAACAACATCTGAACGTCAGAAAGTGCTTCGGAGCTGAGGTGTTTCGTACATGTTGACTTCGAAATGTGCTTCGCACCACAACGGCGTGCACTTTTTCGACATCTCAACTTCTAAAAGTGCTCCGGAGCTGAGGTGCTTTGTACATTTTGACTTTGAAATGTGCTTCGCACCACAGCGGCGGGCACTTTTTCGACATCTCAACTTCAAAAAGTGCTCCGGAGCTGAGGTGTTTCGTACATGTTGACTTCGAAAAGTGCTTCGCGCCACAACGGCGTGCACTTTTTCGACATCTCAACTTCTAAGAGTGCTCAGGAGCTGAGGTGTTTTGTACATTTTGACTTTGAAATGTGCTTCGCGCCACAACGGCGTGCAACTTTTCATCTCTCATCTGGCCAGCTGGCTCCGCACCCGCCCCTTTAGCGAGCCTACTTTTCGACCCTCTGGAGCCACAAATCATTGAAAAAACGCTGCGTGTCGCGACTTTCCTACTTTTTCGCGCACCCGGAACTTCTTTCTTCTGAATCTTTCTCTTTCTTCTTCTCTTCTCTGACTCTTTCCATCTCTGCTTTTCGTCTGTCCATATTGTCGGAAGTTTGACTTCTAAACTTCCTTCGAGTTCTTTGTAGTACTACAAAGCTTGCGCAAAGCACTTCCCAGTATTTACTACTTGGTGCTTGAACGCTTGCACAAAGTACTTGCCGGTGATACTTTGGAATACCAAGCTTGCACAAAATATTTTCCCGTATTACTTTGTACCACAAAGTTTTCACAAAGTATTTGGGTACTTGCACAAAGTAGGTCCCAGGACTACTTTGTACTACAAAGCTTGCGCAAAGCACTTCCCAGCACTACTTTGTACTACAAAGCTTGCACAAACTACTTCCTAGTACTACTTTGTACTACAAAGCTTGCAGATAGTACGTCCCAGTACTACTTTGTACCCCAAAGCTTGCACAAAGTATTTCCCAGCACTACTTTGTACTACAAAGCTTGCACAAAGTAGCTACTTCCCAGTACTGCTTGGTACTACAAAGCTTGCATAAAGTACTTCCCAGTTCTACTTTGTACTACAAAGCTTGCGCAGAGCACTCCCCAGTACCAATTTGTACTACAAAGCTTGAACACAAGTACTTCCCAGAACTACTTTTTAATACAATGCTTGCACAAAGTACTTCACAGTACGACTTTGTATTACAAACCGTGCGCAAAGTACTTCACAGTACGACTTTGTACTACAAAGCTTGCGCAATCTACTTCCTAGTACCACGTTGAACCACAAAGCTTGCACACAGTACTTCCCAGTACTACTTCGTACTACAAAGCTTGCGCTAACTACTTCCTAAGCCGAAGGAAGTTTAGAAGTCAAACTTCCGACAATATGGACAGATGAAAAGCAGAGATGGAAAGAGTCAGAGAAGAGAAGAGAAGAAGAAAGAGAAAGATTCAGAAGAAAGAAGTTCCAGGTGCGCGAAAAAGTAGGAAAGTCGCGACACGCAGCGTTTTTTCAATGATTTGTGGGTTGAGAGGGTCGAAAAGTAGGCTCGCTAAAGGGGCGGGTGCGGAGCCAGCTGGCCAGATGAGAGATGAAAAGGTGCACGCCGTTGTGGCGCGAAGCACATTCCGAAGTCAAAATGTACAAAACACCTCAGCTCCTGAGCACTTTTAGAAGTTGAGATGTCGAAAAAGTGCCCGCCGCTGTGGCGCAAAGCACATTTCAAAGTCAAAATGTACAAAACACCTCAGCTCCTGAGCACTTTTAGAAGTTGAGATGTCGAAAAAGTGCACGCCGTTGTGGTGCGAAGCACATTTCGAAGTCAACATGTACGAAGCACCTCAGCTCCGGAGCACTTTCTGACGTTCAGATGTTGTTTCGCGTGGCAGGCGCAAGGGATTGTGCACCTTGTCAAAAGTGAGCAAAAACGATCAAAAACGTGAGGGTTTTGTAGCAGTTTCAAAAACGATGGCAGGCGTGGGACATATGCAGAGGAACTGGCAAGATGCATTTCGCGTGGCGCGCTGATTTCCTGAGATGGGTTGCATTTTGGAGCATCAGATCTTCAGGTTTGCCTGGATGATTTTGTGTGACAGGTGCAGCACTTCGTATGACTTGGCACCACCTTTTCGTGGCAGGCGCAATAGTTTAGGCAGATGGACTGGCAAAATCGCAAAACGCATTGGTAAGAGGCCATCAGCTCTGCACTCAACTGTCCATTTTTGAAGGACGTCTCGCAGAATTGCTTCGTTTTTGATGTTGTCAAGTGCAAAAATTGAGGACATCTCGCTGAATTATCTCGCTGAATTACTGCGTTTTTGATGTTGTCCAGTTTAAAAACTGAGGAAGTCTCGCAGAATAGCTTCTTTTTCAAGCTTGCAGATAGATAGATAGATAGATAGATAGATAGATCGATAGATCGGTCGATCGAATAGATAGATAGATAGATAGATAGACAGATAGATAGGTAGATAGATAGATAGATAGGTAGATAGATAGATAGATAGAATAGATAGAATAGACTAGAATAGAATGGAATGGAATGGAATGGGATGGAATGGAATGGAATGGAATAGAATAGATAGATAGGTAGGTAGATAGATAGATAGGTAGGTAGATAGATAGGTACATAGATAGATAGATAGATAGATAGATAGGTAGATAGATAGATAGATAGGAAGGTAGACAGATGAGAGAGTGAGAGAGAGAGAGAGATAGATCGATAGATAGATAGAGAGATAGGTACATAGATAGATAGGTAGGTAGATATTCAGGGAAAGAGAGAGAAAGAGAGGAGACCTCAAGCACCGTTGCGTCCATCAGTGGCTTCGCTCTGTTTGCACAAAGTCGTTCCCAGTACTACTTTGTACTACAAAGCTTGCACAAGTCACTTCCCAGTACTACTTTGCACTACAAAACTTGCACAAAATACTTCCCAGTCTACTTTGTACTACAAAGCTAGCACAAAGTACTTCTCAGTTCTACTTTGGACTACAAAGCTTGCACAAAGTACTTCCCAGTACCACTTCGTACTACAAAGCTTGCACAAGTACTTCCCAGTACTACTTGGTACTTCAAAATCTTCAAGGCTGCGTTTACTCTTGGGCCAAAACATTGCAAAGCGCATGCAACATTCATGCAGCCAATACAATGCGTTTTGCAGCACCACGTGCGCAAACATGCAGCCATTACATTACGATTTGCACCCGCACGTTGCAGAACACAGTGGAGGAACCGATTACGCGTCAATACGTTCATCGCCGGCTGCAGCCACTTTACACCAGAAAACACAAGGTTTCCTGCTCCGGCTTCCTCCCCAACACAAAGCCTAGAGAACATTCGTGTAGCCGCGTAGCCATTACATTGCGTTTTGCAGCAACGCGTGCGCACCTATGCAACTATTACGCTGCGATTTGCACCTGCTCGTTGCAGAATACAGTGAGGGAACCGGTTACGTTTCGAAACGAACGCACCCGCAACCGCCTCACACACGAGCTGCCCTTCATCGCCGGCTGCAGCCACTATGACGGAAAACGCAAGGTTGCGTGCTCCGCTTCCTCCCCAAAACAAAGCCCATGCAACATTCACGCAGCCATTACACCGCGTTTTGCGGCAACACGTGCACATTCATGCAGTCAGTACAATGCGATTTGCATCCATGCGTTGCAGAACACCATGGAAGAACTGCTTACGCATCGAACCGAGCGCACCCGCACAGGAGCTGCCCTTTATCGCCGGCTGCACCAACTTTACACGGAAAAACACGAGGTTTCCTGCTCCGGCTTCCTCCCCAACACAAAGCCCATGCAATATTCATGCAGTCATGCATGACAATGCGTTTTGTAGCACGGCGCGCACATTCATGCAGCCATCACAATGCGATTTGCATCCATGCGTTGCAGAACACCATGGAAGAATCGATTACGTGTCGACACGAGCGCACCCGCACCCGCACCCGCCGCACACACGAGCTGCCCTTCCGCGCCGGCTGCAGCCACTTGGCACGGAAAAAAACTTGGCACGGAAAAAAACACAAGGTTTCGTGCTCCGGCTTAACCTCCCCACAACAGACCCCATGCAACATTCATGCAACCATTACACTGCGTTTTGCAGCACCACGCCCACATTCATGCAGTCATTACAATGCGATTTGCAACTGCACATAGACTGTGTGATGTACTGTTATGTGATGTACTGTTGTGTGATGTATTGTTATGTGATGTATTGTTGTGTGATGTATTGTTATGATGTGATGTATTGAAATGCGATGTGTTGTCATGTGATGTATTGTCAAGTGATGCATTGTCATGTGACGTATTGGTATGTGATGTATTGTTACTGCACTACACTGCACTACACTTCATCCGTAACTCAGAAGATTGCTTCCCAACTTCCTTTGATTATATATATATATATTTATAGATATGTCGATATAGAAAGATACAGATATAATGCAAATCGGGACAGGAAACGAGCAGGGAGCTTCTGAACTGTCAGAAGCGATGTCTGTGCCGAAGCAGCATGCTGAAGAGCCGGTAGTGGTGCGCTGTTCGTCTCAGTAGATGGATGTGCCGACAGAGCATCACAAGCTGCAAAGTGTGCCAGGTCCGACCCAGACGCAGTATATGTAGCGATGCCCATGCCTATCAAATCTCACATGAAGCTAATCAGAAAAAACACAGGAGCCGTGAGTGAGATACTGTGATTCACACTGCTGTATCCATGGTCCAATTGTATGTCCAATTGTATTCTATGGTGGGTGGGTGCAACCAGTTCACAGGAATCAGAACGGCAAACAAAAATCAAAAGAGCGGAAAGAGCTGAGAGGGGGATTAAACAAACAAACAGGATACTCTTGGCCATGAGAAAGGCATCCATAGTCTGGTCATTGAGCACCACCAGCAGAAGCGGCAGCCCCTGGGCATGCGACAGCTCCAAACCCTGCGGTAGCAAAGCACGAGCCTCTGAGAAGGCGATCACCACACCACGGCTGCTCGCTTCCTGCGCATCTTTTGCTTCCCCACGAGCAACACCAATGGCACTTGGAACTGCCACTCCGGGGTTCTCGGCTGCAAAGCTGCTTGGCCGGGATCCACAACCTGGACAAAGAAGCTGCCAAGATTTGTCGGAGCTTTCCCACGCGATTGCAGCAATCTCAGCACAGTAGCCAGGCTCAGCAACCAGGGTACACTTTAGATGTTCTCCTCTTGCTTGCAAGGTTAAGTTTTTGATGAAGGAAACCAGTGGGTCAGATGCATGTGCTGCTAACGCTGCAGAGGCTGGCCGAGTTGGCAATTCTGGTTGCTGAATTGGAGTATATGGATAGCCTTGACCAATCGTGCTGTCCCATTCAAAGGAACCATGCTTGTTGTACAAGTCACAAGCAATTTCAACCCCAACAGGTCCAGGCCGCCCCTGAAGAGAACATTTGCACGCTTGGGCAATTGCGGCACAGATTTCTTCCACTGAAGCCGGACGAAACAATGCCTTGCAAACGGGCTTCAACACTGCAAGGTTGTCGACATCATGCAATTGAAAGCGTTCGTTCCCAGCCCGCACGCCGGCTGTCAACACGAGCATTGGGGTGCCATCTCTGAAGGCACAAGCCACGCCAGCAAGAGAATGAGTCACGCCAGCACCACCAATCAAACAAGCACAGCCCAAGCGCTTCTCCTTGTGCCAAACACCCCAGGCCATGTAGGCTGCAGCTTCCTCATTGCCAATGAGATGCATGGCCACGTCTCCAGCTTGTGGCTTTCCTTGGGGGCGGCAAATGGCATTGTACAGAGCCAAATTTTGAACGCCCGGGATGCCAAAAAGACGTTCAACCCCAGACAAACGCAAGGCTTCCACCACGATCTCACCGCCTGAATGTATGTTTCCAGGCTGAAGTTTCAACTGTGGAGCTGCAGCTGCAGCTTCAGCCACAGTCAGGCTCAATTTTTCAGAGTCGTGGGACCCCCCGGGCTCGTCCGATTCTTGGGGCTTTTGATGGCCGAGGACTTGTTGCGCGGAGGGCGCTGGGTCCTGGGATTTTTCCGGCTGAAGCAACTTGCTGTCCTTGGCCAACTTCTTGAACGCCGTGACTGGTAGTGGACTTGTTTCATGTGCCAGCGGTTGGCTATGGCCGCCATGGCTGCTTTCGTCAATTTTCTGCAAGCTTAGAGCTGTGAACCAAATGTAAGAAAAAACCATACTCAAAAGAGACAAGCCCATTGGAAACAGGAGAACATATGCAGCCTTCATCTCCGGTGCCCGCATGTTCTCTGGATTCTGGCTTTGTTCGAGATCTCCCTGATTGATTACGGGAAGACTGTGAGGGGAATCTCCATCAGCACCTTGGAATAAATGGAGGAGAGGGATAGGAGAGGGAAGGCATGGATGCTGTATGTTACTATGAATGTTTGGTGATGAATGGCCTGCTATAGCCTGCTTGCCAATCTCTATCCGTGAGCCTTTGCTGGGCAACCAAAGTCCCATTTCGCCGAGCGGCTTTGCACGAACCGAATAGCAAGTGGTTTGACCAATTCAGGTTCGTTTGAATTCGCAGCATCCTGCAAAAAAAAGGTGATAGCTGCAAACAATAAGTCAAACCATAATTGGACGATCATCCCACCTAGTCACTGGCTAGGAAGACCCCTAAATGGTGTATCCTGTACAAACATGGGGTGAAACTATATAAACAACTAATAAGCGTGATGGTCCTCCAGGTCACGGATAATGATTCTTTTTCATGATCGAACAAAGCCGGAGACGTGACAAAAACGGCAAAACTTCCAAATCTGAGTCAATCCAAACTACACGGCCTTGAAGGTTTGAGACCTTCCATTTACGCGCTGGGTCTGCAGCAGCACTTTGCTCAGCGATTGTCGCGTCTCCTGTGCCGCTACGACCGCAGAGGCTTAGGAACTTGATGTTGCATGATATTGCCAAAAAAAAAACTTCATGTTTTGGAATTTTTGGAATACACATGTGCGAGCACCAGCCTTGAGACAGTCAGTCGACTGGCAATCAAGCTCAGCTGTTGCTGCAATGATCAAGAGGAAACCTGCCATCTGGCAGAGAAAATACATCAAACACGCAAGAAAGACCGTGCCACCGTACCGTGTGCTTTGTGATTTTTAGAAGCGGAAACTGGCACCATACACGCCATGGAGAACCACAGGGACAAATTTTGCTGCGACCACGGCCTATCATGAATGAAGCTCCACGCGTCATTACACCTGGCTGGTCAAGAACGCAAGAACCTCTCATCCAAAAGTGAATCTTCCACTCCACGCCTGGTTCTCCTGATGAGGACGAAGTATAGGATGGGTAAGGTGATCAAATGATGTAAGGTGTTTGGTTCAGTTTGATGAAGTCAAACTTTGAGCCGCCAAAACCATCAGTCGCTGACGCATTCACTGACAGCGTGTCACTCCACCGAAGCCCTCGCAATGTGTATGTACATCAGCAACCGAACGCGCACAAGTCCACACTAGCAATTCGAGCACGCAAGACTAACACCCAAACCCAATGGGATATGATATGAAACACCGCGGCCATATATTTGCAGGGCAGAGCAACCCGACCGTCCAAGATCGGAGAGCAACTGTAGGGACCACGTCATATCATGTGAGGACACAAAATTTGCTTGATTCCATTAGCAGGCAAATAATTGACAGACATGATCATACATGCATGGGTATGCACGTGAGGATCTATATAAAGATATAACCGAAGGAAGTTTAGAAGTCAAACTTCCGACAATATGGACAGATGAAAAGCAGAGCTGGGCAGAGGCAGGGAGAAGAGAAGAGCAGAAGAGAGAAGATGATAGAAGAGAAAGAGTCAGAAGAAAGAAGATGCAGATGTCAGATGCGCGAAAAGGTAGAAAAGCCGCGAAACACTATGTTGAAAACACACCAGGTCCGGACCACTTTTGGAAGTTGAGATGTCGAAAAAGTGCACGCCGTTGTGGCGCGAAGCACATTTCGAAGTCAAAATGTACAAAACACACCAGTGTCGGACCACTTTTGGAAGTTGAGATGTCGAAAAAGTGCACGCCGTTGTGGCGCGAAGCACATTTTAAAGTCAAAATGTACAAAACACCTAATGCTCGCCCTACTTTTGGAGGTTCAAATGTCGTTCCGCGTGGCAGGCGCAGGGGATTGTGCACCTTGTCAAAAGTGGGCAAAACGTGAGGGTTTTGTCGCATTTCCAAAAACCATGGCAATCGTGGGACATTTGAAGAGGATCTGCCAAGATGCATTTCGCGTGGCAGGCGCAGTACAAAAGACATGTTCATGAGAGATGTTAGGAGGTCAGGGCGCTGATTTCCTGAGACGGGTTGCATTTTGGAGCATCCGACCTGTAGGTTTGCTAAGATGATTTTGCTTGACAGGTGCAGCACTTCGTAAGACCTGGCATCAATTTTTCGTGGCAAGCGCAATTCTTTAGACAGGTGGAGTGGAAAAATGAAAAACGCATTGGTGCGAGGCTGTCAGCTGCACTTAACTTTCTATTTTTGAAGGAAGTCTCGCAGAATTGCTTTGGTTTCGATGTTGTCATGTTCAAAAATTGAAGACGTCTCGCAGAATTGCTTCGTTTTGGATGCTGTCAAGTTCAAAAACTGCAGAAGTCTCGCAGAATTGTTTCGTTTTTGATGTTGTCAACTTCCCAAAATGATGAAGTCTCGCAGAATTGCTTCGTTTTCAAGCTTGCAGATAGATAGGTAGATAGATAGACAGACAGAGAGAGAGAGAGAGATGGATGGATGGATGGATGGATGGGTGGGTGGGTGGGTGGGTGGGTGGATCGATAGAGAGAGAGAGAGAGATAGATAGGTAGGTAGGTAGGTAGATAGGTAGATAGGTAGATACATAGTTAGATAGACAGATGAGATAGCTAGCTAGCTAGATGGAGAGATAGATAGGTAGACAGACAGACAGACAGATAGATAGATAGATAGGTAGATAGGTAGGTAGATCGATCGATAGATAGATAGGTAGATAGATAGATAGATAGATAGATAGATAGGTAGATAGATAGATAGAAAGAAAGATAGATCAGTAGGTAGGTAGGTAGATAATCAGAGAAAGGGAGAGAAACAGAGAGAAAAAGAGAGAAAGAGAGAGAGAAAGAGAGGAGAGCTCAATCACCTGTCGCTACATCAGCGGATTCGCTCTGCCATCCGGGATTCACAACAACCAACCTCTCCTATAGGTTTCCTATTTTTGAAACTTCCGCCACCGCCTTGTGCGGTACTACTGGTATTATTATATATTATTCCAGTAGTACCGCGCAAGGCGGCGGAAGTTTCAAAAATAGGAAACCTATAGGAAGGGTTGGTTGTTGGGACTCACAGATGGCATAGCGAATCCGCTGATTGACCGAAAGGTAGTTGGAGTTATGTTTTCTGGGGTGGTTGCAATGGTTGCAGTGGTCACCCCACCGCAACTGCTGGATGTAGTGTGGTGTAGCGCAGTTGTAGTTGTAATTGTAGGTGTAGGTGTAGTTGTAGCTGTGGTGTGGTGGAGTTGTAGTTGTAAGTTGTAGTTGTAATGTAGTGTAATTAGTGTAGCGCAGTTGCAGTGATGCTCCAAAATGCAACCCCTCTCACGAAATCAGCGGACCTCCTAACATCTCTGATGAACATGTCTCTTGTATTGCACCTGCCACGGAAAATGCATCTTCGCAGATCCTCTTCAAATGCCCCACGTCTGCAATATCTGCAATCGTTTTGGGAAATGCCACAGACCCCTCACGTTTTGCTCACTTTTGACAAAGCGCACAATCCCTTGCATCTGCCACGTGAAACGACATCTGAAAGTCCAAAAGTGGTCCGACCATGTAGTGTTCTTAACATTTTGACCTCGAAATGTGCTTCCTGCACTTTTTCGACATCCCAACTTCCAAAAGTGCTCCGAACGTGAAGTGTTTTTAGCTTTTTCACTTGCAAATGTGCTTCGCGCCAAAACGGCGTGCACTTTTTCGACATCTCAACTTCCAAAAGCGGTCCGAACGTGAGGTGCTTTTAGCTTTTTCACTTGCAAATGTGCTTCGCGCCACAAGGGCATGCGCTTTTTGAGCATCTCAACTTCCAAAAGTGGTCCGAACATGCGGTGTTTTGTACATTTTTTGACTTCGAAATGTGCTTTGCGTCACAACGGCGTGCACTTTTCCGACATCGCAACTTCTAAAAGTGCCTCCGAATCTGGTGTGCTTTGTACATTTTGACTTGGAAATGTGCTTCGCGTTACAACGGCGTGCAACTTTTCATCTTTCATCTGCCCAGCTGGCTCCGCACCCTCCGCTTTAGCGAGCCTACGTTTCCCTCCGGAGCCACAAATCATTGGAACATATTGGAAAGACACAGTTTTTTCGCGGCTATCTTTTCGCGCACCTCGATCTTCTTTCTTCTGAAACTTTCTCTTTTTTGATATTCTTTCTTCTTCTCTTCTCTTCTCTGACTCTTCCCATCTCTGCCTTTCATCTGTCCATATTGTCGGAAGTTTGACTTCTAAACCTTCGATGATATAATGCACATAAACGCATGTACATATATGTTCACAACTGGCACAGCGAAAGCAGATGAAAGCAGGCAATAATGGGCAAGGGGTCATGGGCATGCCAATAAAATTGAATTGGCGTCTGGTCAGCTTGGCATGTTCCGTACATAAGGTTCTGATAAGGTTCTGGCAGTTCCCTGAACAATGTCCAAATTTCATCACATTTCCAAGTTTTGTCTGCGCCGACTCATGCATAAATCCTTTTGTGACATGTCCATGTGCATTTCGACTTGCGTAGGCTCGCACAAAGTGCCCGTCGCGCTTTGCTCTCTTCCGAAGGTCTACTTTGCTGGCGCGTCGTGTCCGGCTTTGGAACTATGACTATATGAGCTATGTACTTTTTTCGCGCCAAGCGTGAGATTTCCAGGGCGTTTTGGAATTTCGAGCATCGTTTTGCGTGACAGGCGCAAGGCTTCCGACCCCGTTTCATCCTCGTGGCATGCAGGCGCGGTACTTTGTGCACATTGCTAAAACGTTGGCGAGGTGGTTTCAGACGTCATGTTTCGTGGCATGTGCAGTATTTGGCGAACTCGACAATGTCTTGAAGGGCTCCAAAATCTCGTTTTGTGAAACTGTCGTCATTTTTGATTTGGTACATGATGATGATTTTGCGTGGCAGGCGCTTCGGATGCCTGAGACTAATTTCCTGTGGCTATACTCCAGGGACCTCGACGAAAAACTGGTTGAAACCATGTGAAACCCATAGGTAAAACAATACTTTCAACTTTCGGTCTTCGTGGTGCGTGCAATTTCGTCACTTTGCGCTCGTCCGATCACTCTCGTTGCAGAGCGGGCCGCATGCATTCTGACATCGCTCGCGCAACCCTCGTGTCACTTTGCGGTCGTCGGATCGCTCTTGTCTTGTTGTGGCGCGGTGCTGATGCTGATGTCGCTCGCGCAACCCTTTCGTCACTTTGTGCGCCTTGGACGGCTCTCTTTGTTGTACCGTGCTCATTTTGGCTGATTTCCAAAGATCCTGGCAAAGAGATCTCAGGAGTTCTCCGGAAGGTTATTGACCAAGGTCTTGTAGAGGTCCTCGGGAGAAAATCTTGTGAACCCCCCTGGTCAAGTCCCTAAGACTTCCAGGTCCTTGCATGATCTCGTGCAGGTCCTGATGATCTTGCGGAGACCCTGCAAGAGATCTGCCCTCAGAGATCCTTGCATTAAAAGATTTTGAAGGTGACCTATGCTTCTATGAAGGCTGTTGCAGGGTGCTCTCATAGGAGGTTCTTGCAAAAAGATCTTGTAAGATCCTCTCGAGCAAGTTCGTCTATGGTGATCTTGTGAGATTTTCTTAGAAGTCTTGGTATGAAGGGCTTGTTCAAGTCTTGCAGAGGTGCTTGTGAGAAGATCTTGTGGAGACCCTACTGAAATGCTCTGGGGGCGAAGATCTTGAAGACGCCCTGTATTAGGGGTCCTTGTGTGAAACCTCTTCTTCTGCCGTGCCCTTATTCTTTAACCATCTTGTGAAATGTTCTTCGAGGACCTGGTATGAGACCCTAGTCAATAGACGTAGCGTTCTTTCTTCTGACAAACAAATGTTCCTGCTGCTTCACTTCCGATTATGCTTAGGCGGATCTGTTATTGTTTCCTTAGCTACGGTTGCTAGTATGTCCTAAATTATATTTTCTATCCCCCCCACACTGTTTGACGGTGTCTCTTGGGGCGAATCTGTGTTTGTGATGTTGTGGGCTTTTTCTTTCTAAACGTCCTGGAAGAGGTTCCGGACCGACCCCCGAAATCCCTGAGAAGAATATAAACGTATATATATATATATAATATAATTTAATATAATATAATTGAATATAATTTAATATAATATAATATAATTATATATATATATATATTTATTTATTGATATAACGACAAAGTAGTCACCTCAATGTCACCTCAACTCTTTGCAGCCTGCGCATCTTTCTCTCGGCATGCAAGCCCCGCTAGAGTCACTAGAGGTCAAGATTACGAAGTGAATGCAGAACTTGATCCAAGGCAAAGCGCTGGATAAATGAATCGCAATCCTCGATGCCATAGCCTACAAGCAAACTGCTGCCATCTCGAACCAAAGTGCTTGCAAATTGTATGTTCTCGCAATCCTTGGTTGCAAGAATCTCCAAGATGGCAAATGTCAAACTGTTCCCTTGATACTTGAGACTTCGGACCGTTCACAATTTACTGCTGCAATTGTGGATATTCGTGGATTATCTACTGATACCGAGAGTCTAGCGGAGCCTGAACACTACTGAAGCAGAACTCGGGCGATGCCGAAATCAAGCGAAAGGTTTGCTGCCCTTGGGCCACTTGAGAATCATCTTGAGAATCGTTTTGAAAATCCGGGGCAAGGGCGAAGAACTGATGTGTGTAGTGGTCTGGCAGAGACGTTGCATGGTTTCTCTCTCCCCGTGCCAGATGTCCGATGCCCAGGAAGACCTGGAGCTCATCTATCCAAACTGGGGATGGACCATTGTGCAGGAAAACATGCGGCACCTGTCCCGTAACACCACTCCAAGGGGAGTGGTTGGTTGCGTTGGTTGTTCTGATCAATCGTGGCTCCGCACAAATGACAGCAAAAGACTCATTGCTCAAAGATCCGTTGGCCCTTTTGCCTTTCAAAAACTCAAAGGTATAATTGTGGTGCGCGGCGAGTTCAATTTCTTCAGATGCATTGAGCAAAGTCAAATTCAACGCAGACACGGAAGTAGGGTAAATTCTGTCCATGATGAAGGTAGAAGCGCCGAAGTGAAGAAACCCAAGATTTTTCATGGGGTTTTTCGGATGGTCGCAATATTGCGGCCGTCTGACCTCGTGCCGATTTATCCACGCCCTGAAGCCATTGTCTGAGTCGGAAACAGTGGTAGCACTCACGTGCAACTTGGCAATGAGTGGGTTTCTGATCTCACCCAGAAAGTATGGAAGAAAAGCAATGATGACATCACCTTCTGGAGACACCCACAATCTGACGTCGGCAATGGCATGTTTCCAATCCAAATCACCGTGAACTTCAATTTTTGAGACCGCTTGAACAGCAAAGTTCTGGTCTAGCACAGCTGCATAAGACCCATTGCCCCAAAGATTTTTATGGAGAAAGAAAGGGGGTTTATTTTTGAAGTCCTCCATCCCTGGGCATCGGCCCCAACCGGCGCGGTTTACCACCTGAGAGGACAAAATGTCAGCCTACCGCCGGCATGTGACAAGATGATTGCTAGTTAGTCACAGTTAGTCTGAAGCTACAAGCATTCCGTTACATATTGAAGAAAACTGATGACTCTCAATCGTCTAAGAAACAGAAAAGGAATTGTATATATAGACTTGTTAAAACCGCGAAAAATCATCGTACAGCATGGTGATTGCCAAAACACCTCACAGGGAGCAGTGCTTCCAAAACATGGTCGCCCAAACATGCTCAAACATACAACCGCGGTAACCGCGCATCTCATACAATTTGGTGCTTCGGCTTCCGCATTCACTAGAAATGCCATGAGAAACATACATACAACCCAGCCAATTAAACTTGCGGCTGTAGCATTCTGTAGCGGCATCGTTCAAAAAAACACTTCTCTTTTTAAAAGTGGTCTTCGCAACGAACAAATTACGCGGCTGCCTTGTGTGGACAAAAGAATTCAATTCAAGCTTCCCGGTTGCGTTCCGTGCTCGAAACATGCCTGCAAAAACTAGGGCGTGAATTGCGAGTCTGTTGCTGCACATGACTCCAAGGGTGGAAACCTGAGGCCTACACTGGGGCTGCACTTGACTTTGGAGCTCGCGGCACATGGATTGGAACCCCTATGGTCCTTTTTGAAATTTGCTTTGCAGTGGTATGTAGTGGAACCTGGCCTTTTTCAGGGCGTGGCTAATACGGTGACACGCTGAAGGCCCCACTTTCTGATCTTTGTCGCCCGCTCGCTAACGGCACCGGCAAACCAGTGAATTCGACGAGTCGGATGGTCCGTGCCGTGACCAGGACGATTTCTACAAGCGTGGCTGCATATTCAAATGGAAGTATGCAACAGGATCCACGTCGATTCTTGCAAGACTACAAGGAGTGGCGGAAAGAGACCACCCTGCTATATGTAATCGTCTCGCGCCATCTACCTTTCCTCCTACGCGGTTCATCTTGATGCTGGAAGACCTCCCATGTTATTGTGGGTTGAAGTTTTTGTGCGAGCAAATTTTGTGGAATTGACATTCCCCCCATTTCATGCATTTCAGTTCGCAGTCCTAAGGATCCAAATCGCTAGCTTGCATTTCCATGCATTTCCGGCCGTTCTGGCAAGGAAAACGTTTTTGTGCTGGCATCCTGAAATTTGAAGCTTGCGAAAATCAACGGCAATTCCTTGTTAACGCAAACCCAAGCGGTTGCCCATGCCCTTCTGTTACACCCCAAGATAATGCAATATTTGCCGATGTTTGCATGTCATTGCATGTCACCAAGGGATCTGGCTATGCACAGTGCTTTTGCCTTTGTGCTTCCTGGATTTGGGTATTGGCGTTTTAGGGCTCATTTGCGGTGTAGGAAACAAAAAAATGCTGGCCCCAAGCAGGGATTTGAACATGTCATAGGATATGCGGGATCCGTTACGAGCAAGCCTCCCAACACACCGCAAACCCCGGCTCATTGGATGTAGCATCAAACGCCCTTGCCACTAAAATTGAACATTAGAACTTGTCAATCCACTCCTCAACCCGCAACCCCACCCCCAACGCAACCCATCTACATTCCTTATAAGTACACTTAGTACACTGCAGCATCGCATGCATGTGCGAACCCGAGTAACATTAAATCACCTCCGTCCGCCATGCCCAAGGAGGAAAGCAAACATGCCAAAGCGAACAGCACAATCAACTTGCACGTCCCAGTTTCTGCGATCAAACTGGTTGCGGTCCAGGAACAAACCATCTGCCAGCTGGGAAGGATGGTTTCAAACTTGCTGGCATTGGCACAAGAGATGGATTGGAGCCTGCGCAAGCAGGACGTCTGTGCTCACAATTTGCATTGCTTTCAAGCGGCATTTGCCACATCGGCATTTGCCACATCTTCTTCCACATGCCATTTACTCAGCAAGCCTGTCCTGGATACTTTCGGCCATGACTCGCAGGCAATGCCAAGTCTAAACGCCAACGCTCCAGCGGTTGTAGGATTGAAAGGCAAGCATGCAAAGATAGTTCTGACTCCTGCGTCCGACGCGCGTCGGGCCATTGCGAATCACCATGCAGCAAACCGCAAGACAGTGCAATATTATATCACTCTTCCAACATCCTGAAAATTTTCCATGGCACGCACAAGTGTTGGTTGGATACGGGTAGACAGTAAATAGATCGACAGGTAGATAGACAGATTGGGATAGATACAGGCACATGTTGATAGATATAAACATAGACTTGGAGGTAAATACACCTGCGTTGTGTAAATTTAGATGTTGTTCATGAGGTAGGTTTAGAATGGCTAAGATTGATTTAGATATATCCGCAGATAAGGAGACAATCAAGTACATAGCCAAATCAACGGAGCGATGGATAAGCAAAGAGAAAGGGAAAGAAACAACAAATGGACAGAAACACGCCAAAAAAAAAAAAGAAAACGATCTGCAGACACAAACGCGTGTAGATAAATGGAACGAGGTAGGCACAGATAGATAGACATAAGCAAATACAGATAGATATGGAGAGGTAACGATAGATATCGACGGATCTAGACAGCTACACATAGATATATGTTTAGTCGCGCATGGATAGATAGTTCGAAAGAAAAAACAACAGATAAATGAAATAAAAAAAGACAGGTAGACATGACATAATGATTAAATAAGACCGCTTGAAAATTAAAGATCATGAAAGATAAAGGAAGATAACGATAGAGAATGAAAAGCAGCCATGGGTTTGTTAGATCATGATAGACAATGAAGTACCAGGTGTTGCCGGGCCGCGCCGGAGCGGAATTTCGAGAACAACACTGACCATAAGAAACCGACAAACTATAGGAATGTCTGTGCAAAGAACATGCAGAACCAAGAAAGATGATTGAGGTTGTGAGGTGCATCAATGAAAGGGCAACTGGTTGCCGCCATGTCAGTGACATGACATGAAACCAAGGAGATGAATGGATGAATGAATGACTGAATGACTGAATGACTGAATGACTGGATGAATGAATGAATGAATGAATGAATGAGTGAGTGAGTGAGTGAGTGAATGAATGAATGAAAGAGTGAGTGAATGGATGAGCGAATGAATGCATGAACGAACGGATGGGCCAATCAATCAATGAACCAAGCAATCGAGGAATCCACGAAGCAATGAACCAATGAATCAATCAAATCAAATCAAGTCGGATCAGGTCAGAATCAAATCAAATCAAAAACAAAATCAAGCCAACCAAATCAAATCAAATCAGTTCAATTCAATTCATTTCAAATCGATTCAAATCAACTCAGTTCAATTCAATCAAACTAAGCAAGCGAATCAATCAAACCAATCAATCTAGCAATCAATCATTCAACCAGCCATCCAGCAAATTAATCCATCAAACATCCAAACAATGAATCAATAAAACAAGAATGAACCAATCAGTCATTGCATCAGTCATTGCATCAATCAATCAATCAATCAGTCAATCAATCAATCAGTCAATCAATCAATCAATCAATCAATTAATCATTCAAATCCATCAAACCAATCAAACCAATCAAATCAATCAATCAACCAATCAATTGTCAACCAACCAATCCATCAATCCATCAATCCATCAATCCATCAATCAATCAATCCATCCATCCATCCATCCACCAATCCACAAATCCATCAATCCATCAATCAGATCAGATCAGATCTGAACCAAATCAAAATCATATCAAAAAACATCAAACTAAATCAAATCAGTCAACAAGCCAACCAGCCAACCAACCAACCAACCAGTCAAAGCATCCATGCATCAGTGGATGAGTCAGTGAATCGGTGAATAAGGAAAGCAAACAGGAATGAAGGAACGAATGGAAGGGTGAGCTACTTCTTTGCTGAGCTACTTCTTCACTGAGACTGAGCCGCCGCTTCGCTGAGGTATCTCCTACCTCCGCCGCTTCTTCTCTGAGCAGCCTTTTAACTGCGCTACTTCTTCCCCGACCTGCTTCTGCTCTGAGCTGCCTCGCTCTTGCAGCTACTTCTTCTGTAACCTTCGCACGGTCAGCGCAATGCGTTTTGCAACCTCCAGCTTCAATCCTGCACAGCATGAAAACTATTACAATGTGCTTCGCAATCTTCAGCTGCAATCCTGCAAAGCCGGGGAGTGGCAGCATCTGTCCGCTTTCATGCGCGCAGCTGTGCTTTCACAGCCAGTGGCAAAGCCGCGTATAGCGGGGACGCACTATCAAATCGATGCCGTTTAGGACTTGAAATCGCTTGCGCACAAATCCAGCGCTAGTTTGTGGCCCTCAGTTTTTGCCGAAACTTGCCGAATGCGGAGCGAAGGGTTCTCCTTTTGCTTGGGGGGCCTGGCAATGGAGACGCGTTCGCTTGAGATTGCTTCTGCAATCGAAATTTCGCAGCCGCCCGCAAGCGGCTTGCCCGGGTACTACTTGTATAAAACTACAAAAATGTATGAACATACATCGAAAGAGGGACACCAAGGAGGAAGATGGGGAGAGAGAGAGAGAGAGAGAGGAGAGAGAGAGAGAGAGCGAGGGAGGGAGGGAGGGAAGGAGGGAAGGAGGGAAGGAGGGAAGGAGGGAAGGAGGGCGGGAGGGAGGAAAAGACTCTCATGCATGACATCCAATGGCATGCAACAACAACATAAATGGGCTTGACGTGACTGGCCTTGGTGGGGCTGCATGACGATGGGAGTCCCCACGTACAGCATTAGGCAACGTGTGTCTGGAAAAACGGCGCCCGAGGATTTTGTCTGGGGCGTATGGTTGGGGTGCGCTTCGGGGTTTGCTTCGGGGGTATGCTTCATCGTACCTCCTTGCAAGGACTTGAAATTTTGGAAGGGATTGCCAACCTGGGACATCATGCGCGCGAAGCCTGTCACTCACGAGTAGCTACTGACAACATGCTGTTGGTTTAAGACGTAGCTGGCTGTAGCAGGCTCGATTCATGTACTTTTCAGACTTCTTAAATCCTTTAGGATGCCATTTTTGGCAAATAATTTTTTTTATGATTTATTTATGATTTGAATACGATTTCCATTTATGTTTTTTTTATGGGTTCAAATTGTGGTTATGATTTTTTTATGGTTTGGATATGATTTTTTATGGTTTTGGATATGATTTTTTTGAATGTTTTTTTAGTCCTCAGAATCTGGTTTTCAGCTATAAAAACTCGAGAAATTTTCGATTTTTTTATGATTTTGCTAGAGTTTCCTTTTCCCCAAAGCCTTTTCAGCAGAAAATTTGATTTTGGAAGCAAAAGCGTAAAAAAATCGTAAATGCATCCAAGGTCCCCAGAATCTGGTTTTCAGCTAAAAACTCGAGAAATTTTCGATTTTTTTATGATTTTGCTAGAGTTTCTCTAGGAAAATCGTAAAAAAATCGTAAAAAAATCGTAAAAAAATCGTAAAAAAAAAAAAATCGTAAAAAAATCGTAAATGCTTCCAAGGTCCCCAGAATCTAGTTTTCAGCTAAAAACTCGAGAAATTTTCGATTTTTTTACGATTATTTTACGATTTTCGTAGAATTTCCTCTTCCCTGAAGTCTTTTCCACCAGAAAATTTGATTTTTACAGAGAAACTCTAGCAAAATCACAAAAAAATCGAAAATTTCTCGAGTTTTTAGCTGAAAACCAGATTCTGGGGACCTTGGATGCATTTACGATTTTTTTACGATTTTTTTACGATTTTGCTTCCAAAATCATTTTTTCTGCTGAAAAGGCTTTGGGGAAAAGGAAACTCTAGCAAAATCATAAAAAAATCGAAAATTTCTCGAGTTTTTAGCTGAAAACCAGATTCTGGGGACCTTGGATGCATTTACGATTTTTTTACGATTTTTTTACGATTTTCCTAGAGAAACTCTAGCAAAATCATAAAAAAAATCGAAAATTTCTCGAGTTTTTAGCTGAAAACCAGATTCTGGGGACCTTGGATGCATTTACGATTTTTTTACGATTTTTTTACGATTTTGCTTCCAAAATCAAATTTTCTGCTGAAAAGGCTTTGGGGAAAAGGAAACTCTAGCAAAATCATAAAAAAATCGAAAACTTCTCGAGTTTTTAGCTGAAAACCAGATTCTGAGGACTAAAAAAACCATAAAAAAATCATAAAAAAATCATATCCAAACCATAAAAAAATCATAACCACAATTTGAACCCATTAAAAAATCATAAATGGAAATCGTATTCAAATCATAAATAAATCATAAAAAAAAATATTTTGAAACCCCTCCATCCTAGAGACTTAGGAACTCTGAAATGTACTTGCCAGGGCCGCGTTAAGGACACCACGATTCTTTTTCATCTTTGCTATCCAGCTACTCAAGCGTTGGCGATTGAACTGCCGATTCTAGTCTCCAGAACATGCCTGGCCCTGGAAGTTCACAGTTTTGGGTACGAATCGGGTGTGATTTAGTTATGAATCGGGCATGGCTTGCGGAGCACTGGCTTGCGGAGCACCGGTTTGCACACGGATTTCAACACATATCGGCGCAAACAAACTTACAATAATAATGCAATTCCAGCCCGCCCGCGTGCGGCCTCGCGTTAACTACACCAGCCAGTCATAGCCTGTCAGCACCAAAAAAGTCCTCATCCTGCTTGCCTTCTCACACAGTGTCACAAGAGCTCACACAAAAGTCCACGCTGCCAGAACGTCACCATTCTAGCACGTCGCTTCAAAAGGGACCCGCCATTCTACCCACAACAACCTTGCAAAAATGATCTCAGTTTTGGGGTTTGCTTCGGGAGCATGCTTCGCAAGAGCGCCTCCCTCCACCATTAACGTAGATATCGATATAGGTAAGATAGATAGGTAGGATAGGTAGGTGAGGTGGTTAGGTAGAGTAAGCAAACAGAAAGGCGCAGACAGGTCGAAAGATAGTTATTTCACGAAAAAAAATCCACACAGATCTACCAACACAGACGCGCACACACACACAGCTATGAATATAGATATAAATGCAGATGCAGATGTAGATGTAGATGCAGTAATAGAAAAATATAGATACACACACACATACATACATACATACATA